TGTGCTAGACCTAGCTTTCGGAGGAAGGGTAGTCGTAGCCGTAGACGTTGGAGCTCGGTCGTGTCACCGTGCAGCAGATACTGGCGAGGAAAAAAAAAACCCAGAAGCCGGCAATGCAGAAACCCTAGAAGGTACGCTGCCGGCATACTCAGCGCATTCCCCATTTATCCATACAACACCACTGGACATTTACGCGAATGTAATTCGATGGTAGGTCGGCCAAATACTCGTCGAATCAGGAGCGCACGTACGGACCATTGAACATGTCCGACAACCGGCCACGTAACAGCAGCCACCATGTAGACTGGGGGGACCTCCTATGATGTCGCTTGCGCAATGCAGTAGTGAGAGCGCGGCCGGGCGTTCGACGTGGCACTGTTGCGGCCACTATGCATGCGGCTGTGGTTGTCCAACGTGAACATTAGGCGGACACATTGTTGCACCACTTGCAACCGGCAGCAAACGTGTTCATCCCACAGCTCTTTTTTGGTGTTCTACATTGTCATTGTTTTTTGGTGCGATGGGGGCATCATGATGTCTCGAAAGGGCGTCGAGCTCGGCACCATCACACTGACACAGCTGGGCGCGCCGCTGGTGGAGCGTGTTGTTCGCCGCCCAGCGAGCTGTCGCCAGCTTTGCGCTGGGTGTGGTCCATGCCGCGGCTCCCGGGTGCACCAGACGTGCTCCCGTTGAGTGATGTGCTGGACCTCGCGAGCGCGTTCCCCCCCTTCCAGTCGGTTGCCGCTTCGCTAACCTTCCATAGGAACCTATGTCCGTAGATGCCGACGGGACATTGTGTGCAGATGCAAAGAAAGGTGCGCGGAAAAGAAAACAAGCATAATATGTTTAGGGTTGCTTAGCGCTCGATGTCCATCGTTGCGTTCTATGAGTTTGCAAGTCAAGAAGCGTCAAACCTTGACCGTGACACATTGTAGGAACCTTCATGTCCGTGTTCGTCGGTCGTCAGCATCGTTGTTGCCCGGAGCACGGCATTGCCGCAAGCTAGGAGCAGCCCCGCTCAAGGCTTCCCGTGCAGCTTCCACGAAGCCCGTCCAGGTTGCAGTCGTTATTTGGATGCTAAATGACTGCAACAAAATGCCCAGTTCGAATATTTTGCCTGGTGTATGAAGGTGTTTGAAGAAGTTTTTGGCCTTGTTTCAGCGAGTGAAACAATACAAATTGATGCAGAACCCGGTCCAGCATCAACGTGTCGACTTGAGACGGAATTGGAACGAAAACCAATTTGGCACTAATTTGGGGTTTGGCTCTCTTGGCAACTTTCGGCCGGCAGGTGTAATCTTAGAGTAGAAACCATGGCGGCCGGGTCCCCGCGCTTGACGCACGTGTTAACCAGCAAGCCTGGTGAGCCACACCAAGCGGATGCATCTTGGCCAATACTTAAATCGAATGCATGTCGATGGCAACATCATTCGTTAGGGCGATTAGGGCGTACGGTAGCTTAGGCTTATTATTATAGAACCCAATGCTTTGCTTTTATCGGGATCGTCATGTACCATCGTTTCACCTAGGGTTTAACTTTCGATCAGCTCGTTCACGTCAGGTTGGACCTGCGCAGCCATCCCAGCTGTGAAACATGTTCGTCAGTTCATGCCTGGATTGCGAGTCGTATAATGACGGCTCTGCTGTTGCAGGATCTTCCGCAAAATGGTTCCCCATGTTCGAAGGGGGCAACGAACTCGCCTCACAAGCATGTTTCCTCGATGCTGCTTGGCATGCATGGCTGATGTTCTTCGGAAGGAAAATGGTTTCTGCACCAAAGGTTCCAATCAATGATGGACCAACTGGCGGAGCAGCATGTGAAGGACGACGCTGCATGCACGAAAGAAAAGAAGTGCCTTTGAGAAACACTCTTGTGCACGCAGGCCTCACTGATCCTTGCTCGTTTTGAATCCGGCACAGTGGGGAGGAGCTGGCAGCAATAGTATCTATGATGGAGCCGAAGCAGAAGGAGTTTGAAAACTCGATGCAGTCCATGCCTTTTGAACGTCGGAACAGCCGGGACAGTCATCGCGAAAGTAATCGGGAGAGTCGGCGGGACACATGGCTGGCGTTTCATCCGTTATGGACCATCAACGCCATATGTCACGAACACGACATGTTGTCGTGTGCTTGATGCCCAGGACTCCAACTCTTCCAAGAACGACGACGACAAGAAGCGCCCTGTATTGGCCAGGAGTGGAACAGTGGCTGCCCAGGTGATGGTCAAGCATCACCAGGACATCCCAGAACTGCATGCAGACGAGATCCTCGAGGTTTTGGAAAAGAATGCGGCTTGGCAGCAACAGCTCTTCGGCGAGGGTGCCTGTCCAAACGTTTCGGCACTTATCTGTCAGGCGGCAAGTGAGGAGGTGGTACAACCAGACAGCCTCAGAAATATGATTCAGTTCAGGCTGGCACATGCGAGTCATGTCTCGATGTTCGCGTGTGCTGCAGGAAGGTTCAACATATGTGTGCTTGCGTCCTTGCTTTCTTTGGAGCACTGGCGCAGGCAAAGCCCTACCGTTTTGGACCGGGATCCAATACTCGAAACAGTGGCGTTCCAAGAGTTGGTAGTTTTTTGCTCGTCCTTTTTTGCATTGAGCTTACGGACGCACCGGCCAGGCCTGTGCGACGAATGCAAACGGATGAAGTGTGGGCTTTCGGCATCATGTGTGCGCCCACTGAGGATTCAGAGTATGTTCGGAGGATGAGCCGCATGACCCGCCTTGAGAAGGTGCAGCGCACTTTGCAATCCCCGCAGCGGCTCTTCTGCGTTGAGGGCCTGCAGGGTTTGGCAAAGTAACAGCAGCTACTCATGCCTTATGACTTTTACATTTTACAGGTGCGAGGACGATTACCACTGTAACAGCTGTGACGCCTCGAGTTGCTTTTGATTTCTCGTAAGTTTGGGCTACTATGTTCGGGAGGCGAGAGAAGCAGCACATGTTGAGCATGTTGCAACTGTTTGATTGCACTTAAGGTATGAGATGTTCATGGCGTTGGTACTGTGCTTAAATGCTTCTTGGATGCTCGACAATGCTTTGTCTTTTGAGCGAGACTCATCGTCACATGTAGCTATGAATACAACCGAGAGGTCGGAATCAACAAGCCCACACTTTGTGGCAATTCTTTGAATATGTATAATATGTACTTCAGGTGAGATCGGGTCGACAGCCAAGGTTGTTTGGATGGCGATCGAGTTGCAGCTAGAAGGTACAGTCACAGGACAGGAACTCAATTTTTGGCAAGGACCGAGCACGTCGTCGCGTGAAAACTCCGTTGTCCATCTGTGTATGCATCTTGAGCACGAGCGGAGTTCCATGGCGGAAAGCGCATCATATCGAGACCCGAGGATCCACGTCCGCGCTGAGTCAGAGCCGTCCCGTTTGGGATTCTGTTCTTCTCATCGGCGAGATTTGCTTCACGTCGTTCTTCGCACTGGATGTAGTTTGCCGAATTTGCATCCTGGGCAGCTTGTTTTGGAAAGTTTGTCTGAACTACATTGACGTGGCGGTCAGCATCACGTCCATCGTCGAGCTGTCCGTGACTGTGGCCGTGCTGCAGACAAGAGGTGAAAACATGTATGCAATCCCCCCATGGCTTTATGAGCAACGAAGTTCGTTATCGAAGTCACACGCACGTCTGCTTTACAACCGTAGCGATGCATATAGCTGCAGCCCATGTGAAGCCTACAGGGCTACAGTCCAAAAGTTAGGAATGCAAGCAGTTCTGTTTTGATTTGAGCCCTCAGCCCATCACCCACAATAATCCGCAGGAGCTTTGAAGGAGTTTGGAGCGATTTTTGCCTGTTTTGTACTCTCCGGGCCCCGGCTCTTGCTTTTGCCTTGTGTCTGATTTCCTTTTGGATGGGGGCCAGACCTTGAAGCATTGATTCCAATAGCCATAACCCTGAAACACCCAAACGATCCTACAGCTTAAGCTCATCCCTGCTGGGCCTAGGTCTCTTCGCAGCTGCCTGTGAGCCCCGTGTTGTTCCGGCTGTTGCGCCTGGGGAAGCTGGCACGCGCCATCCGCGTCGTGTCAATGCTGCTTGCCGTCAGATCCAAGTACCCTTATTGATATTAATGTTGTATAATGATGGTTGTATTATTGTTGTGCTCGTTGTGCTTGTTGTGCTTGTTGTGGTTGTGGTTGTGGTTGTGGTTGGGGTTGGGGTTGGGGTTGGGGTTGGGGCTGTTGTTGTTGTTGTTGTCGTTGTTGTTCGTATTAGTACAGTCATACATCACACTGATTATTGTTTGCATGCTTTTCGGGGGGGCCAGTATGTACAGAGGATTCTGCTTTCTGCACTTGCCCCGTTGTAAATACTACTGCATGAACCTCTTTTGGCTTCGGAAACCTTGCGTTGCAGCAATGATTCGCAGAGTCCCTCTTGATCTCCCAAGCTAAGGAGGAGAAGCATAAGTCTCTGCGGGAAGGCTCTTTGTTCGTATAGTACGGATCCTTCCCATACTTCCCGGTTAGATTTTAGAGTAGCACTTCTTTTCCACACTCCGATGTGCCGACAGTACTTGGGGAAAAGCGTTCTTGCAGTGGCCCAGTGGTCTCGTGGGGTCTCCTGGTTCTGGTCTCTTGGTGGTCGCGGTGGTCATCATGGTGGTCCTCAGTGGTTCTCGTTGTGTACTGGTCCTAGTCGTGACGGTCGTCATGGGCGTCGTAGTGCTCTGTCATTGTTTGGGGATCTGCGCTAGCACAATCGATTGCATTCCGACGGTGGTGTGCAGCCCGGCCTGGCACCGTAGGAGGTGCGCAGCGAATGTCTTAAGAGCTTTAATCCAAAGCCCCCTGCTTCGGCCTCCCTCCAGTGCAACCTGTCCAACGCTAGTCAGGTCAAGTGTTCTTGCATCGCTGCAGCTGCTGGTCAAATGCCTCGCGTCCAGCTACTTGGCTACATTCAGAAGCCACCGGCGGATTTCAGAACTGGTGCCCACGCCCGAGGAAAGAGTGATAGACTCAAAAATACTCCAGACAAAGCGATAGCCTAAAGCATTTACACCCTTTGTCCAGTATGGCCTCATCAGGCCGTGACATGCTCTTCTGGAGTTTTTGCCTGCTGACCTTCGTGCAGTGTGTGGCCGGAATGATTTTGAGCACCCTCTGCGCCGATTTCATCAATGACGCAGGCAGGTTTTCTGTCGCATTGTGCAATCTGATCACGCTTCGCCACTTCTTGGCACGTGCTTACATGGTGTGTGCTTGGCCTAGCAGGCAAGCGTAGGCAGCGGGCATGTCACAGTTGCTTGTTCGCGAGGCAACAACCTGGAAATTCGCAAGGAGGTGACTCGCTCGCAGTAGTTCATGATTTGGGACTTTTCGAAAATTAGGGGTACCTTATTTCGGGGGTCCTTATAATAAGGATCCTACTATTTAGGGTACTACATTAGGGTCCCCCCTATTTTGGGAAACCCCCCACGGTGTCCCGACTTGCCCTCCTCAGCTTGCCGAGGACAGGCACTGGCACAATGTAGTATTGTACGACTATTTATATATCTATCTACCTATTTTCTATCTATTTATTTATCTGTGTATCTATCTATCATCTATCCACCGATTTATCTATCTATCCATCTATTTATTTATCCATCTATCCATCTATCTATCTATCTATCTACCTATCTGGCGACCTATCTCTAGCTCTCTATTTATTTTTCTATCTACCTGGTAATCTATCTATCCATCCATTTATTTATCTCTATCTATCCACCCATCTATCTATTTAACCATTTGCCTGTCTATCTATCTATCTGTCTACCGACCCATTTTTTCCATTTTTATCTACATGCACATGAGTACCACTATAATGCAATATGTAACGCCCTACAATAGGCCATGTGCAGTAGGAAATACTAGATCATATACACGATACAATTTAAACATGGGTGCTGAAGTCAGTCTTCTTGAGTCGGACAGTGCTGTCCAAGCAGCTGCCCTGAGGTTTTTCTTCACTACGGAACGTTTACAAGAACAATACTTTCAATGTTTGAGATATTGCTCCTTGGTCTAAATGAGTACACTTTGCAATTCTTTTGGCAATTGAATTTAGTCTTTTTGCTAGTGAACTCCGCCGCTAAGGTTCGCAAATTGGAGTCCACCATGCAGAGTGCTGGTGGAGAACATTAGCGAATGGTTCTCTGTGTTTTTTCTGCTCTACCGATGTGTCCTGGGATTTGCTGTGCGGCTCGGTTCTGCCACGGCATGCTTTGTGTTTTTGGTTCTTCTTTCATTCCTGTTTTCCCATTCATTTCTGACCTTGACAGCACATGCAGCCAAGGATCAACGTAGTGAACTCTGTCTTCGTCCAGCAAACCATGAAGACTGCCAGTTCCGACGAAGAGCTGGCCTTCAAGCAGAAGCAAAGAGATATGGACATGTACACGAAGAAAGTGCGGAAACTATTTCAGACAATGGATGCATCAGGCGACGGAGCGATAAATCTGCAAGAGTTTGCCAAGTTGGTGAAATCACCGAAGCTGCGGTTCTGGATGAGCCAGCTGGAGTTGGAGTATCACGACCTGTTGAGTCTCTTTGAGTTCCTAGTTGGCACTTTGAACAATTTACATGTTGCCTTTTTCGATTTTTTAAGATACCTATTTAGAAATATTGTGGGCCCTTGAATCAACCCAGGTTCCTGGACAATGGTGATGGACAGATCACATTGACCCTATGGCGACCTTCAGAAGTTTTTGCTTACGGGGAGTGAGACGTGTGGTGTTCTACATAGCACCAGAACTGCCCAAGACACTGTTGAGTGACCCGATGAATCTTGTGTGTGTGTGTGCGTTTCTTTTGTGCCTGTGCTGAAGCACGATTCGTTCTTTTGTTGGTGCGTGGCCGTTTGTGACAAAGGCTCGTGTCAGGTCGCGCGCCGCTAGGATCCCAGAACACGAGCCAGGCCCCATAGGCTCTGTAAGCTTCACTTCTCAATAGTAGTAATGATGGTATCATAATATATAATAGTTTTTTGTAGTACTACTTTGAAGATACTGGTCTCCGGCATGTGCTTCTGGTTGTCCACCCGAATCAACCGTCACAAATTCCAGCGGTCCCGAACCTAGGACCGAGTTTATTGAAGGTGCGGCACGCTTGAAGGGCAGCGCGAAGGCTTTGGACGTTTGGCGCATGGAGTGCAAGATCGAGCTGCTGTTGCTGGGTCCGAGAGAGTATGACACTGCGTTCTTGAAAGTGTTAGTGCTACTACCGCGGATCCTTTTAGTTGAATCTGCTTCTCATTGCTGTTACTGCTTCTTCTTCTTTGCTTCTAATCATGTTGTCGTTTGAATGCAAATGGCTCTTTGGGAGTTGCTCCAGGTTCGAAGAGGTGCTCAACCATCTGAGAGGGAAAAATCCGGTACTCTCCCCCGTCATAAGCGAGCTTGGTGATCTTGGCCTTGGCAGTGCAGGCGGGGAGTTGAACTCGGGGCTCCCTGGTTGCTCGAACAGGGGCATACGGGGTTGCATGCAGGCATGCCGGGCGTGGCCGATGTGCAAGACGTTTTTGCCCAATCCGGCTATCAGCACATGCCTCTTGGTGAGAAGCAGCATGGAGATGAGTTTGTAAGAGTTAGGATGGTCCGGGGTCTTAAGTTATGGGCTTTTGCATAGTCAGCCGACATCAGGGCTGCATACATCACCCCTCACACTCTCTGTCTGGGTCTCCGAATCTCTTTGGCTCTCTCTCGGTCTGTCCCTCGCTCGGTGCAGAAGCACAGCTTCCTTCACAGCCGAGGAAATCAACAGGGCGAAGGGCATCTGTTTCACAGATAGACGATCCCGTCGTGGATCTTTGATTCGCCCGGGAGAGCGTTTTGTTCAGCACATTTGTTGCCGCTTATGCTGTATGATTCGCTTGTTCTGTCTTGCTCAAGCTAGACATCTCCGGAGCGGAGGGACCATGCAAAGCACATGTCGTGGAGACCGTCAGAGCTGTTGCGTACATCGATGGCCACACGCACCCATGCCTGCGAAGCAGCATCGGTGCTTTTTTTGCCAAGTGGTTTCAACAGAAGGTTCACTCACAATATCCCTAGCCAGCGTTAGTCCGGCGGTTGGAGGCAAAACAGGTGCCCCATGCTCCTTGCGGTTCTGGCAGCATGAGCTCCTTCCGAAGATGAGATCCTCAGGCCAAATTTGGGTCTACGAACAAGCGGAGCTGTAAAGCCCAGACTCAAATGCGAGAGATGTGGGTTTGGACAGGCTCTAGACGTCCTGGATGAAGGATGCAAGACGCGAAGAGAAGAGCCTTCTTACTGATCCAGGGACCTAAACCCTAAACCCTAAAATCCTAAGCCCAGCACAAAAAGATACTAAAAGTGGAGCCTGGAAGCCGAAGGCCCTGAAGCCTTTCGACCCCCAAGACCCCCAAACCCCCACCATATCCTGCCAGCAAAAGCAAAAGCCCCATACACCCCAAGATCCCCGAAATCCCTAAACCCCAAGATCCCCAAAAGCCTTAAACCCCTAAACCCTAAACTCCCTAGATGCCCAAAATCCCTAAACTTTCAACCAACTAAACTCTAGACTGTAGGCCGGAAAAGAGCAGGAAGAACTCTTCTGGGTTTTGGGTGCCCAGGCCGACGACACCCGGCAACTCCGGAAGGCTCTGGTCTTCTTGTTTTTTTTGGGGCTTAGGGTTTAGGGTTCCGGGTTTTGGGAGAGCTCCGTCCAAGCCCTGTGTAAAAGGGTTTAGCGTTTAGGGCTTCCGGGTTTCAACTCAGGGAAGATCAGAGGTACTTGCTTGTGAGGTTTGGATGAGCCTGGCGCTTGTGCCTGGGGTTTTGTCTTCGGGATTTGCGGATCTTGGACGGTTTTTTTTTGGGAGTGCGGAGTGTGTTTCAGCGGCCGCGCAGCCTTGAGATCAATACTTTGGTGGTGCTTTGTTGGTTTAATCAAACGGCCAGAAAAAAGTTCTCGGGCTGCAGTCTGAGGACGGCTTTCTCCAGCAGGATGGGTAACAGCGCTTGAAAAGCTACTCTGAGTGTCCTCTGAGAGCAGAGCTGCAATGTGTGAGCTCGAGACGTTTTCTTGAGAAAATAGTGATGGATCCTTATGTAGAACAAGCATAGAATCCCAAAGAATAGCATCCTTAATGAACGGTAACCTCTCCAAGAAGAAAAGGATAAACAAGGCACCCCAGTTTTCCGAAGCCCGAATGAGCCATGAGCTTACCAGGAGAACGGTGACTTGTTGCGATCACAACCCGAGAAGCTGTCGGGAACCTGGTGACCAACTGGCCTGAACAACACGGGATATGTGGGTTTAGCCCTAAACCCTAAACCCCTAAACCCAGGGGGAAAAAGGGAAGAAATTATGCACCGCCCGATAGTCCCTGAATGCTTGTACCATAATTGACCCGCAAGCCCGATCCTCCTCATTTTGTGATCCGTATGTCACGCCTTGTTGTGGAGTGGGCTTTTATCGGCCCTGCATGGTTTCCTGTGCAGAAAGGCAGTAGCAGTGGGAAGGAGATCGTTGCGCGAGCCGCATGGACAAGGTGAACAAGCTATGTCTAGCCTGTGGAATTCAGTGAGTGAGGCTGCAATCTCAGGGGTTGGGAGTGACTTCGGGCAAGGATTGAGCAGCGGCTGGCAGGTCAATTGTCAGATCTTGCGCCAGGCTCCATGTTTGAAGGTTCAGTTCCCCACCACGATAGGATATCCGGAGGGATGGGGGAATGGGTGTGCCAGGAAACTTGCGGACGGTGTTGGTCTAGAGGCACAGAGCCCAGAGCCTCGAGGCTCGCAGTTGTATACGGAGCGGCTGCCCTCCACATCCCAACACCCTAACCCTTAGACTTAGAAAAAAGTGGGTGGAGGGAGTTTAGGGTTTAGGGTTTATGTGTGGGCATAGATCCCGAGCCGCGAGAGGGAAAAAGGACAGATGTGGCGCACTCTGCAGCGAGGTGGAAGTGGCTGGCCGAACGAACAGGCCTGCTGCCTCAGTGCCCTCAGTGATACTGTCGGCGAAGGCTCTAGGGGTTCAGGGTATTGAGTCTAGGTTCTAGGGTTGAAAAGAACGGTAGGGGCCTAAATCAGTGGTCATATTATTCCCAGGGTTCTCTGGTATACTTGTGTCGTATGATATGATATGGCCCAAGACTCTATCCTAATTTTGAAGGCCCCTCTAGTATTTCGATCATTCGCCTCCGTCGACTTGTTGGAGTTTGGGGGAAGATCCCGGTACCAGTACACACCCGCCGACCTGACCTACAGAAACTTTTGAAGAAGCACTAGCCATGAAGATCCCCAAACGCCAAACCCTACACCTTCTGTAAACCCGAAACGCACATATCGAGAAGTGCGTCGAAACCCTAAACCCCTAAACCCTAAGCCCTGAACCTTATTGTAAACCTTAAACTCAAAGCCTGTGTCCTGGGCAGAGGCCTGGCCATGGTTCAGCGAAGTTCGGGCCTCCCAGAGGACTTCCCGGAGGCAGGAGGTCAAGCTTTCAGCCTTGAAATAACAATGCTGTTTGTATTGATATTGCTAGCACTATAACTATGACTCTTATTGTTTGTCGTGCTATTTTCGTTTTCTTGTGGTTGTTATGAATTATCTGTATTTTTCTTACTACTATTGTTGTTATTACTACTATATCTTATTATATTTGTATTTGTTATTATTGTTATTTTTTTAAATTCTTCTTATTCTGTTTATTATTACCATTATTAATGCTACTACCGCAAAAGTTGTTATTGTTTTTATAATTAGCAGTATTAGTATTGTTATTATTATTATTATCATTGGTTTTTTGCTGTCCGTATTATTGGTATCATTTCAGTTCTTTTCAGCGACATGATCAGGGCGAGCACTGGTGCAAGTTCGTCATGCACCTCCCCCCTCGAACCACCCTTTCTCCGATACAGATAGCATGCACATGTACTCACGCACGCACTCTCCTGCTCACATACAGCATGCCGCATACAAGCAGCTACGAAGGCTTACGTAGAATAGGCTTTCTTTTGCTGGCTTTGCAGGATCCTTCATACATATATGCATGTGTATACATACATACATATATATATATATATGCTTATATATATATATATATATGTACTTACTTATATGCCATATACAGACTATAATCGATCGTTGTACCTTTATATCTAAAGGTTAAGCATTGCTGTTTGCCAGGATGGCCCTTTCTCAGTTCGAATGAGTGGCATCGACAAAACGGCCACTGACGAGGTGCAGTCAACTGGTTCTTTAACTTCCAAGCAGCTTGGTTTGAGTTTGGGTCTGAGTCTTGGGCTCAGAGTGAGCGATGGAGAAAGAAGGAAAGAACGAAAGAACTGTCATTTTTTTGGAGGCCTTACTGTTTGGCTTTAGGGGTTTCACGGTTCCTCAGGGTTTGAGAACCCAACCCCTCAGCCCATGGATGTGGCCAGGACATTGAGAAGTATTTCGAGGAACGTGCGAAGCTCAGAGGAGCCGGCTCGGGCGCTTTGCGATATTCTTATAAAGCTAAGTCGCGGCTTGGTTTGCACTCTTGAGCTGAGAGCTTGGTCTAGTCCACCCTGCGGATTTGCCGATATCTACATGCATCAACGTCCAAGTGAATCCCTTCCACGACCTCGTGCCTTATTGCTTCCCAGGCGATGTGAAGGTCAAGTCCGTGGAGCAGTTTGATGTCCCGCGGCATACGGCGCGCATCGACTTCCATGACAAGGTGTGCTGAGAGCCCTAAACCCTAAACCCAGCCTCGCAGTTGCTTCTGGCTTGGCTCTAATGTAGAAACCTAACCTAAATAAATACCAATGTTACTGTCAGGGTTCCTTATCACAACAATACTATGATGAGCCCGAAACCCTATTCTACTGATGAAGGGCCCTACAGTCCTAAATTACCTTCTGGAGTTGTGCAGTGCCAGGGAGTATATCGGTATGAGATGTCCAGTGCCTGTTCCGTTCCTGCGTGACATTCGGATGCCTGTTCCTACGGACCTGGTAACCTGAGCTTGCTCAGTGATTGCAGAAGCAACCCCGTTGACGGTCCTCTTGCTCGCGAAGCATCCCGCCCGTAATTCTTGTCAAGATGGGACTGTCTGCATTGTAGTTTCTGTTTGCTGTTTCATCAGGCATCTCTGGAGGTCGCCGGAATCTCAGATGTGACAGATGTGAGCAAGGGTTCAAGTTCTCCCACAAGCTGTTCCACTGTTGCTTGTTTTGCTGCGAGCTCAGATTGTAATGAGTCCTGTTATGTCGAGTGGCAGAAGATCCTTCTGCTGGTAGGATTGCATTTGCAATCAGTGTTTCTGCGTCTTTCAGAATTCCGATTGCTGGTATCGCCTGTATCATCTGCTTGGTTACATGTTGCCTTCGGAGCTGCCATTGATGCAGCGCTGACGGCAGCCGAATACTATTGTTTCTAGGATCATCACTGCAGCCACCATGACGACTTGAGCCCAGTAGCATTGAGATTGCTCGCGTCTTGGATTCAGCGGAACTTCCACGAAGCTGAAGAAATCCTGTGTACACCTGCGAGCATTATCCTTGTAAGCGGGCCTTCGTTGATGCTACCATCAGAACGAGCCGTGCCAAATTTTGGATGTGTTGTAGTGTTCACTGTTATACGGTTCCGACCGCGGCCTGCTACCGTTGTAGACAGCCGTTGATGCTTACAGAGCATCCAGCTGAAACGCGGACAGGGTTGGATTGCTTGCGGTTTAGTGCCTGCCCCCCGAAGCAAAGAACTCCAAATGTTGTGGTTCACGGCTTATCCCTTTTATGTGCCGATCCGGTTGGCAGTTGCCTTCCCTTCAGCACCGAATAAGAAAAGAAACGCCACGTGATGTTCAGATCTTGGACAGCTCAGGCCATCCAGCTTAGTGGCCAGTTCCCCGGGGGCCCCTGAGGTTGGGCTTTTTGTAGCTCCTGTGCGTAAGGTTTTGTTTGCGGAGCTGTTTTATGGGGCTCAGGTTGTCGGATGCTGATTTGTGAGTGGCTGATGGGCTTGCGGATGAGGCTGCCTTGTTACGTTTGTGGTGGTTTATCAGGATCATAAGCATTATCGTCATCATTGTTTTCTGCGTCGTGGTCACCTTTCCTTCCCAGATTCATGATATGGTGTAGACCTACCGACTTACCACATCGCAACAATGAGCAGGAGGTTCCTACTCATAAATAACAGTCATAGCTTTCACAGCATGCACAACGGACCGCCAGGGTCAGAGTGGCCGTGCTCGAAGCAGGGAAGTCCTCTCCGACCTCGGACCCAGACATCGGGCTTTCAGAGGCAGAGAAATGGGAGCTCAAGGCATGACCTTGAGCCTATAATCCTGCATCCTGTCGACTTCAAGATATAGCTGAAACATGGAGTGGAGGGCAGAAGAAGTCGTGTTTAAGCACGATGACGAGCGCTTGCATTTTGGGAAACTTGCTAGGGGCACGGAGAGGAGCATGAATAGTTATCAATACTATTCCTGAGCGTTCCTTACTCTACATATACGTCAGCATGCTCCAAGACCCTATTAAAAATCATGAAAGCCCTTTTGCGCTGACAAGTTGTTCCCTACGCCTTCATGGGCCTTCATACACTGCAAGGAGATTGTAAAGGAGGATTCCGTTTTGGGCATCTAAAATCATAGCGGTTGCAGCAGGCTTCTGCCATTCTGGATACCTAAGCTGATCCCCTAAAGAGAAGCATGCTGACTTCCGAGGTGCACCCATTCGGCTAAACACGATCCTAAACCATCACAACATGAGACTCAAGACGCCAATGGCTCCAGTTCCAAAACGCCCGATAAGTTCTACACGCTTCGAGCCCAGGCCACAACCTCCTTCGGCGGAAGGTCAAGGTGGAACTGTGGACAGACAATGACATGGGCACCCTGGCGACAAGGGAAGACCCTTTCGCATGGGTCCCTGGGGTCGTCCGTGTGACCATCCGGTGCTGCTGTGCAGACACGACTTCTGCACCATTAGTGGGAGTTGGTTCCGTCGCCGAATGAGTTGAGGTACTGCTCTTGGTTCTGGTAGCAAAAGCACGGATACGCGCCAAAACGAATATTGCTCAATGCGAAGAGAGAATCGCGATCTGCCCAATACTCATCACGACGTAGTCATGTGACAGCTTTCGCTACTTTTGTTTCTCATGACTTCACGACTTTGACATGAGTGTGTTGGATCCTCAGCCCCGGTGCCGGCGAGATGGTCATTGCAGATAGCACCGATGCTAGGCAGTGCGAGATCTCGCGTAGGTTCATAGACACATAGACCAGCATAGACCTACTCGAGCCTCGGAACGCTGGGCTGTCTTCGTTACCCGTCTTCCTGACATGTCTCTGACGAGGAGACCATGGTTCGTCTTAGGGTTGGTCAAGGAACACTCATCTCCTTCGCCGGCAGCGTGATTTGCAAGTTTTCCACCGTTTTTGCCGTGCAAGTTCTAGCCAAAAGCCCAACCCCAGGCCCCTTAAACAGCTCAGGTACGAGTACCGTGATGGGGGCGAAGCCACTGAAACCGTTGCTTGCATTTTATAGCATGCCTGATGGCAGTGTGGGGTTCGGCGCAGGTGCACGTCGAATATTGAATAAGTCGTAGCATTCATCCATGAGAGTGCTTGGTCCTGGCTGTGCGGGGGCTTAGGGTTAGGGCTTGGGGTCAAAGGGCCATGAGGGTTCAGAGCTTGAGCAAGTTTTCGCAGCTGCCAAAGGCTTCGGGGTCTTGTTCATGCGGGTGGCTTTTCTCTGCTGAGAATAGAGAGAGGCCCAAGCGAAGATCCCCGATCTTCTTTAGGAACATCTTCGACCGACCGATTCTTTTGAGCAGGGAACCACTGGTGTGATGCTAAATCCAAGGTATGTCGGACCACTGCCCGACGAACCTCCTTTCAAGGCGATGATTTCTCGGTCTCTTGCAAGGCTTAACACAATCACACCTAGGGTTTAGGGTTTAGGGTTTCATGCAGACGGAGAGATAGACTCGCGTGTGACACACATGGAGAGCCAGACAGACAGAGAGAGACAGGAACGCAGCCAGACCTGCATTCATGCGCCCCGCTCCACACATCCCAGTCTACCGATTGGTCTATAGCCTACTCACTGAATCCACAGGGTGCAGTTCTGCTTTTTATCTACATGTCCATGTATCTTCGTGCCTTTGCACAGCGAGGCCCTGGAGGATGGCACAGCAGAGAGAGAGAGAGAGAGCTTCACTGTACAGGGAACACGGTTGATGATATGAATCCTGCATTACCCATAATAAGGAATTTACCATAATTCCCATAGTTTAGGGCCCTTAAGGTGATGCAGGCTTCATATCATCAACCGCATGTCCAGCCCGGAGTTTGACAGAAGAGGTCTGGTTCCGAACCAAGGGTTTGTCACACGGCAACGTGTGTAGGTGGAGTTTGTAGATCTCATACTTGCTTGCGCATTCGGGGGAACGTAGGTGCACCCAAAGATGTATGTCGGCAAGTGCCCTTGTGAACATGCATCACTCCCTGCAAAGAAGCGATTGCATGTGTATCCTGCGTACACATAGTTTTTCGGGATATGTACAAACAAGCAAACAAGAATGCGTGTGCACCGTCCTGAGCCCAGCGGATTCGGCTCCGTTTTGTAGCTCCTTCCGCCGTCAAAGCCGCAGGTTATCGTGAAGGGCCTGGACAAGTCTGTCAATCAGCGGGACTGGTGGTACTTGGTAGGTTTGGAGTGTGGCTTTCGGATATGAGGGTTCGCGGAAACGGTTCAAAGCTATAAACAGGTTATAGCCTTTAACCAACAAAACTGTGGCAAGCTCTGCAAATACGAGATGCTGCGCAATTGTCTAATCGACTCTGCACATGGGCGCCCGGAAAGGTCTTCGCTGGACAGCTTTCATTTTTGGGTCACAGTATGCTTGCACCATAGTTGCATTCTGCGTCCACATTGCTCGATCCTTCAATCTTTGATCGACTCCTTCATCAAAGAGCCCTTGAAGAAACGGCTCAACTTAGTTAAGACTTGAAGCGCCGGTGTGCGTGTTGTTGGAAGGACTTGGGCTACTTCTTCTGGGACCGAGATTGCGAATGCAAGGAGGTGGCAGTCGGCTCAGTTTCCCAAGCCGCCGCTTGACGGCTTTCGTTGGACCCGGGGAGGTGATTGGATGCCTCCTGCTGTTTCAAGGTCTACCCTCTCAAAAACGAGAGACACGCAGGAACCGTGGAGTTCAACGACAAGGAGCATTAGGGATTCGAGGCGGGTTTCAAGGAGCCCGAAATTGACTGTGTTGTTGTCCAGTTCTGGTTTCCCCTAAACCCCCAAACCCTAAA